GTTTTATAAATAAATAAATAAATATATATATATATATATATATATATATATATATATATATATATATATATATATATATATATATATATATATATATAATGCACACTCTTTTTTATTTAGGCACTAAAAAAGTCACACTTGAAAACGGGTGTGGTCCTCTCCATAAATGGAGAACATCTTAATTCTGCAGGTTGATTGGCTGTGCCTTGCCTTCTATTGGCCAACGATGATGAGCCGTCTTTAGGTTCCAGAACTTTCTGCGGTGAGTAGGTTGTTTTAGAGGTTTGCTCTTATAATTGCTGTTTAACGTTCAATTAAAACATGTATATTAAAAAAAAAGATTGCTGTAGCTTGTAGTGGATGTAAAAAAAAGTCATTTATGTCCTTAATCCTAGTGGGATTTCAGGTCTGCATGATAATTCAGGCTGAAGCCGTCGTACTCACGGTTAGATCTTAACTTTATGCAGGCTGTATCACGTACAGTCACTTAATACTGTAATAAATTTTACAATGAAGTCGCGATTACAAGAGGTACGATTCAAGTCGCAAAAGCTGCGATTATTTCGATAAATAACGTTACTGTGGCGAGGGCGGCCAATTATAACATCCTAATTACTATCGTCAACGTACTTAATCAGCAGCCGACCGTTACAGCAGAACTCACGACCCTGTATTTCACTGATACTGAGATGAAATGGAAGCCGTGAGCTAGAGGTCTGCATTCCCGCGGCCCGCGGCTGTACTGAAGCTGAGAACCGGACGCTGTGTGTGTGTGTGTGTGTGTGTGTGTGTGTGTGTGTGTGTGTGTTAGCCATTTGACCTGCTTGCTTAAGGTAACGTGTCCTCTCGGCTATTACAGCGAGTTTTGTGGTTAGACACACATGAGCATGTTACCCTGCAGCTGGAGTTTTCTTTACCGCGTTATCATGAATCAGCTGTGATATCCGCGCTTTTAAGACTGTAACCGTGGCCGTTTGTCCGTATCACCGTCACTCCGATGAATAACTCGAGCCGCGGTAACCGCAGTCGAGAATAATCGCAGCCCTTTCTGTTGCGTGTGGGAACACAATGACTGATTATAGGTGTTTAAGAACTTGTTCGACAGCGCAAAAAAAGCAAGCGAGATTATATTTACATTACTTTATTTGTTTTAAATGCTCTTGTCCTGTGCATGTACTTTAGCTTTGTTTGAAACATTCAAGAACAGTGTTTTCTTTCAGCAGGTAAAATAAACGAACAAATGAAATGTAAATCTATAAATTATACATTTAATTGCAAGATTTCTTGTGCTGTGAAGTAAAATCTAAAATTGGTTATGGAAAGCATTGTCAGTGCACTGTGAATGTCCTGAAATCAATATAAAAATGAAACACAATCTAAATGTAAAGGTTTTATACAAGTTTACTTAATATTGCAGATAGAATTTATGTAATTGACATTTAAATACAATAGTCATTTCCCTAGTACAAATGTGCTTTTTATGTGACATGATTGTTTCTACTTTTCTTTTATCTTTTAGAACTTTTTCACAAGCTATCCATCCTGTGTCAGGTAATGATTGAATATATTGACAGGGTAAAAAGAAGAAACATGCTTTACTTACAAAAATTTTAGATTTTTGCAGCAGTTAAACTCACTTTTTGGATTGTAATCAGTTTTTAAGATAACATTAATTTCATACATTTATCAGACCACTACTATAATATGACTAAGGGGGGAAATTAAGTGACCAAACATTCTGTTTCTCCAGATTTGTTAGTTATGGGCTTGAGTTAATGGGATGGTTCACTCAAAACTGAAAGTTCTGTCATTTACTCACCCTTTATGTGTTTCTTCTGTTGAGCAAAAAATATACTTTCAAGAAAGCTGGAAACCTGTAACCATTTACTTCCATAGTATTTATTTTTCCTATGTACTATGGAAGTCTAGTGTTGCACCGGTTTTGCTTTTTTTTCCCTCCAAAATATCTTTAGCCTTCAACTGAATAAAGTTAGTCATAAAGGTTTGCAACCACTTCAGTGTTAGTAAATGCATAAAAGTGAGTCAATTGTTTATTTTGGGGGGATTTATTCCTTTAGAAATTATTCTTTTTTAACTTTGGTTCTATTCAACTTTATTCTATTACATTGTTTGGTTACTACTTTTCAAATAAATTTTTTTTTTTAAGGAAAGTACTGTTGGTCTGAGTAACACTTTTTTTTTTTTTTTTGGTGTGTCTGAAAAGTGTTATTCCATGGAATATTGATTTCTTAAGCCAAAAAAAAAACATTTGTATTGTGTAAAATCCAGTACAAACATGTCTTGAAATTAAAAAAAAAAAAATAATAATAAACAAGAATTGGTTTACTACAGGTCTAAATTGTAAACCCAGAGAAACAGTTAAGGGGTCTGTTTTTCCTCCTGTGAAATAATGGTCTGTTTTCCGCCTACATCACTTTTCTGAGCATCTTTTGCAAATGACTCTGATAGTATGCTTGTCACGAATTGACTTCTTTAAAAAATAGATACATGCTTTTGATATATCCCTAACAATTTATTTTATTTACAGATTAACTATGTTATTGATAAGTGATGTTTAACATGGAGAGAAGGTAATACATAATTGACATTAATTTTCATTGAAGTTATTTTTTGTCCCTTTTTCAGAGAGACTCACCAGATATTCCAGATTCTTCACTGCACTTTGCATCTTGGTGAGTGTTGGATAACATTTTTATTTCAAAAATAGAGAAAACAATAGTTGTTGCTTTGACCTAATTTGTTCTTTTTTCTTTATTTTTCAGGTTTCTTGTGAAAATTAAAACAACTACTTCTGTTGTTTTATTTTTCAGCGTTCTCCATTTTTACAGGGATTACGTTTCTTTTGTTTTAATAATCTTAGCATTTTGTAGTTTATATATTCTTTTTTGTTTTTTTTTCTGCATTTTTTTTCATATTTTTTATTTTTTTTGTTTAAAAATTTTTTTTTTAAATTACACACTGTACTGTCTTCTATAGTTGCTAACCTCTGTTTTCTTCCAGATACTACAGGTTCATCTTCTCAGGTTCTGCAGTGCTTTGCGTCAGGGGAAGTTGTAATGTATGTGCCAAAGAGAAAATAATTGGTTTGCTTTCTATATGTCTCCTAATGTGGCAAAAGTCACCTCATATCCTAAAAAGTACTATGCATAACTACAGGCCTAATTGTAATCCCAGAGAAACAGTTAAGGGGTCTGTTTTTCCTCCTGTGAAATAATGGTCTGTTTTCTCCCTACATCACTTTTCCGAGCATGTTTTGCAAATGACTCTGATTAGTATATTTGTTGCAAATTGGCTCCTTTAAAAATTGATAAATGCTTTTGATATATCCTTAATTTATTTTATATACAAATTAAGTTTATTATTGATAAGTGATGTTTAACATGCAGAGAAGGTAATGCATAATTGACATTAATTTACATTAATGTTGTTTTTTGTTCCTTTTCAGAGAGACTCGTCAGATATTCCAGATTCTTCAGAAACTACAGGTTTCATCTTAGGTTCTGCAGTGCTTACATCGGGGGAAGTTTTAAAGTATGTGCCAAAGAAAAAAACATTTAGTTTGCTTTCTAAATGTCTCGTATTGTGGCATAAGTCACCTCATATCCTAAAAAGTACTTTGATGTAACATCATTTCTGTACATTTAATTAAGTTAATTTTCAACACGTAAATAATTTTAGTTTGGTGTGTCTGAAAAGTGTTATTCCACGGAATATTGATTTTATTTTATCATTATTAATAATTTTTTTAAACATTTGTTATTTTGTAAAAATAAGTACAGACATGCCTGGAAATACAAAAAAAAGTATAAAAGTAGTTTAGAGTGGAACAAGAATTGGTTTACTGAAATGCATAACTATAAGTCTAAATTGTAAACCCAGAGCACCAGTTAAGGAGTCTGTTTTTCTTCCTGCGGAATAATGGTCTGTTTTCCCCTATACATCACTTTTCCGAGCATCTTTTGCAAATGACTCTGATAGTATATTTGTCGCAAATTGGCTCCTTTAAAAAATAGATAAATGCTTTTGTATCCCTAACTATTTATTTTATACACAGATTTAGTGTATTATTGATAAGTGATGATGTGTAACCTGGAAAGAAGGTAATGCATAGTTGACATTACATTAATGTTGTTGTTTTTTTTCCTTTTCAGAGAGACTCGTCAGATATTCCAGATTCTTCAGATACTACTGGTTTTCATCTTGTCAGGTTCTGCAGTGCTTACATCGGGGGAAGTTTTAAAGTATGTGCCAAAGTAAAAAACATTTAGTTTGCTTTTCTAAATGTCTCATATTGTGGCAAAAGTCACCTCATATCCTAAAAAGTACTTTGATGTAACATAATTTCTGTAAATTTAATTACATTTATTTTTAACACATGTAAACATTTTATTTCACTCATATTTTATCATTTTTCTCATTTTATTTGGAAAAATTCACTGTAATGTTGTGATTTAAAATACACATTTATTAAATACAAAACACCTTTAAAAAAACTCAACGAAAAATGGACCAACATAACTGTGTGTGTAATGTAAATGTAAACATTGTACATACAAGATTGCAACTTTCTTACAATGTTATTCATTTTTGTCTTCATGCTTGTAATGGCATATGTTCCCGGAGATCCACCTTCCTGCCTTCCAGCTGCAATCTTGATTAAACACATTGGTCTTTGATTACCAAGTGCTCCTTCAGATTCTTATGGTGCTTTCACACTAGCATTTTAGGTCCGCACCCGAGTTGTTTGACATCTGAATACGATACGTTTAGCTAGTGTTAACGGATAGATGCGAGTTACACTCTGTACGTTCAAAACCAAAAGATTCAGTAAAAGCAGAACGACCGCCATGTGGTACGTCTTTCCACAGCTTTGCTGTGTGTCTGTCACCTAGCAACAGCCGTACACAAAACAACAGCTCGATGATGCAAGCAAACTGTGGTTCAGAAGGAAAAAAAAGACAGTGTGAACACAAACAAGCCTAGAAGATGGCAAGGGGGAACAATTGAACTTAAGGTCTAGGCGATTGAACCAAGTGTGAAAGCACCCTTTCCCAACAATTTAGTTGTTTGATCAGCATTACAGTTGAGCTCGGTATTAAGAAGAGCTTTTCATTTTGGCATTTATATATATATATATATATATATATATATATATATATATATATATATATATATATATATATATATATATATATATATATATATATATATATATATATATATATATATATAATTTTTTTTTTTGTGTGTGTATTTGTTTTAGACTTATGTGGGGTTTTTTTTTCTAGCATGCCACGAAAAGGGAAGAGATCTCAGGCTCAGAAATTGCGCTGGAAAAAGATAGACCTTCAAGATGTAAATACCAGCCTTTCCTGCATTAAAGAGGTAATAGTGAAATCTGTCTGTAATTTTTAGAAGATTTGTACATAAGTTAAAGCAGCCATTTACAAATTTAATGCATTATTTTATTAAAACAATGAATTATTTTCCTGTCACAAAGCCTTAAAGGGATAGTTCACCCAAAAATGAAAATTCTGCTATTTACACTTGACATGTGCCAAAGCATTATGTTGAGAACCGTATAAGATATTTTAAAGAATTTTGGAAACCTCTAACCATTGTCTTCCATGGTTACAAGTTTACACCCTTATTATTATGTTTAAGAAAAATAAATTGTGTATTATTGAAATTAAAGGCTTTTGTTTGGAAGTGATTGCAGATTTGTTACATTTGGGTGAGAATTCCTTTAAATTTCTCTTAATTACAATAATTCGTAACTTTATAATAAGTACACACTATGAACCATTTATTAACTTTAAATTATTAAATTTAAGGCCTTAACTCTTAAATTCACTGTTCTAGGTCTTAAATATTTTGCACGGGTCTTATTTTTCCGATGTCAACACTACATCTAATGCTTATTTTAGATGTTTTCGTGGTGTTGTACTTTTTTTACTTCTCTACTCCAATTGTAATTTGCGGTATTATAACTACAAATGAGACCAGCATGCACTAGCTTAATTGCACGTGGTGAATGTTACGTTATCGCTGTGTTTGCGAAGGTTTGCTTTGGGTTCACACATCTTGATTTCAGCTGGCGGACCTCACGAAATGTTTTGAGACTCGAGTGAACAGTTTGTGCGGCGCCGCATTTGATTTCAGTTGAATATGAAACACTTTGAAGAGATTTTTTTCTGAAATGGGTATGACTGTACATGTTAATGTGTCCTTCTGTCAAATCAACACCAAATAATGTTCTAATCAAGTAAGCAAAGAGAATGTTGTTTGCACATAACTTTTTTTGGTTTAATGGTATGTAAACAATGTTTTGCGTTTAAATGTTTTTTTCAACAAATATAACTTCATATAAATTCAGTTAAAAAGAAATTAATATGAAATGTGCACTTGACCAACTGTTTTATTTATTTGTTTTTTTCTTAGTTCTTAACTGTAGATCAAAGTAGATCACTAACATTTAAGGAATGTAAATTACCGTGGCAAGTGGTTTGTTACCCCTTGTAGAATCTGTTGTGGTAATTGTCTAAAAAAAAAAAAACAACTACATATTGTTTTTTGAATGTTAGGGTAATACTTTATCAAGTAAGTCTTATGCAATTAATCACACTGTTTTAATAATGACAATACACATAAATGAACAGCATGTATGTCTGTGTATACACGCATACATATACATTTATGCATACATGTACGCGTGTGTGTGAGTTTTATATTGCCCTGTTTAAACCTGGTTTCACCTCCCAATGCACAATAATAGGTTGGTATTTTATTTAATTGTTATTGTTGTCTTTTTTTCTGGCCACTTTATGTAAGTGGACAACTAAATACAAAATAACACATTTTGTATTCTTCTTTTGGAAAAAAAGATTAAGTTTTGATATGCTTTGGTTTCAAAAACGATAATGCCACTTGTATAAAAACAATTTTGTCTTACAATCTAATAAATTACATGTTTTTTGCAGGTTGAACAAACGAGTACCAGTGCTGCTGTAGGCCAGTCTCCTGTTAGACAATATGAGGAAAGTGGGGGTAATGAGCCCAAAGTTGTGTCAGTCCGGGCGTCTCATTCTCAGGCTGATGTTCGATATGATGAATTCTCAAGGAATCACCAATGTACCTGTATGTCACTGACATTCTTGGCCAATCACAGTGCAGGGCATCAGTTTAAGATGTCGGATCTTGACAGAGTTTTAGAGGAAGGGGATGCCTTGTATGTCAGCGTTAAAATGCAGCTCATCGCTGAAAACAGATTCAGTCATGACTATCTGTCCATGGAGGAAGTACCTTTTGGACTTTCAACATTTAACCAAACATACAATGTTCAGAAGTCCGAAGTCAAGGTTGGATTTTTTCGAGCCAAAGGTTCCCCTGACACGGAAGAATGGTTTTTGCCTCTTGCTGAAAGACTGCAGTGTCTCGCAGTGGATGTCACGCATGCACTTTTAATAGTTTCTTCAGAATGCATTGCGGTGTTTAGAGATGGATCAGGCAGATATGGATTCTTTGATCCACATTCAAGGACATTTGAAGGAGAAGAGGCCCTGGCTGGTGGTGGAACAGCTGTCATGTTAACTTTTACTTGCCTAAGTGACATGACAAACCAAATTCTTAAGCTCTTCAACCATTGCCGTGATGACCAATCCTATGAATTCATGTCTGTGTCTTTTGAAATGGAGCAACAGGCAGGCCAGCAGCCTTCACCATCAGCTCGTGAACCAATTTCAGAAGTAATCTCAGTTCTACCAGAACCAGATGGAAATGCAGCTGTTCCCAGAGGAGCTGAAAGCCGCCAACCTATGGTAGCCAGAGTAAATAAGGCACGGAGAAGAAAAGAATTGCGTAAAGCAATCCATAATTTAAAATCCAAGGACACAGCTAATTCTTATGTGAACCGAAAACACAAACAAAGAGATGATGAGAGGGGCCAGTATTCCGCCTGTTTGCAGTATCGGACAAATAAAAAAGAAGCTCTTAAGCAAAAGTATGGTCAGGATGCTCTCATTAGAAACAAAAAGAAAAGCTACATGGCTAGACGATACAGAGAGGAGATTGTCCGATCTAAAAAGAAGGAGGATATGATGAGACGATATCGCACAGATCCTGAATTTCAGGAAAAACAGAGAGCATACATAGTCAGGAGGTACAGTACCGATGCTGTCTTTCAGAAGAAAATGAGAACATACATGATCCAAAGGTACAGTACCGATACTGTCTTTCAGAAGAAAATGAGAACGTACATGATCCAAAGGTACAGTACCGATACTGTCTTTCAGTCAAAAATGAGAGCGTACATGGTCAGGAGGTACAGTACCGATACTGTGTTTCAGAAAAAAATGAAGGATTACATGAAGAGGAGGTATACAAGTGACTCTGAATTCAGAAAACATCACATTCTCCGATGTACCCTCCACAAGAACCAGAAGCTTGCTAGTGATGCTACATCACGTATTCTTCATCAGTTGCAATGTGCACTGAGGATTAAAAGGAAATATAAGATGTACATCCGCTCCAGCCATGAAACAGCCCAGCCAACAGTCAGCAAAGTGATGGAAAGTGCAATTCAAGCATTCCAGTGTAAGATCCAGCAAGGTCCTACATACGTCTGCACTGTTTGTCACAGAGCCCTCTTTCCAGACCAGGTCAAGGCCTGTGACCGGTCAAACTACGAAAAAGATGTTCAACTTTCATCATTTTGCTTGACCAAGCAGTATGTACATACTTGCGACAGTGCCTGCTCAGATGATTGCACTGTTCCAGAGGAAAGAAGACGGGAATGGATCTGCCACACTTGTGACAGCCATCTTAAAAGAGGACACATGCCTTCAATTGCAGCAGTAAACAAGCTTGAACTGCCACCTATCCCTGCAGAATTGGCTGAGTTGAATGTACTAGAACGACAGCTTATCGCAAAAATCTTGCCTTTTGCAAAAATAGTTGCACTGCCCAAAGGACAACAGAGAGCAGTTCATGGTGCTGTTGTGTGTGTGCCTTCGGAGGTGGAGAACACTGTAAACTCTCTGCCAAGACCAAGAAGCGAGTCCCAGCTCCTACAGGTCAAGCTGAAGAGACATGTCAGTTTTAAAGGATACCAGCACTTCCATACTGTAAATATGCACAGCGTGCTGGCAGCTTTATCTAAGCTGAAGGAAATGCATTCAGAGTACAAGGATATCTCCATAACAGAGCCTGAGGTATCTGAAGATCAGTTTGACGAAGACATTGATGCAGCAGAGGATAACCAAGAAGTTGGCCATTCTGAGCAGGAGGAGCAACACGTTAGTGTGGAGGAAAAAGACGAACTTAGACCCGGTCTCACCTTAGATACGTGCATGCAGCCACCAGACATTGCACAGGACATCTTGTCTTACGGTGAAGGGATCTTTAGTATCGCACCTGCACAAGGAAAAAAGCCTGTTGGATTTTTTAAAATCCCAAAACTGGAAGCCATGGCATTCCCTGTCCAGTTCCCCACGGGAGAGAACACAATCGACGAGGCAAGGCAGACAGCCATTTCTCCTAGCATGTACTTCAACGTCAGATTGTTTTGTGTTGATGCCCGATTTGCAAGGGATCAAAGCTACCTTTTCTTTGCACAATTTGTGACAGAAACGCAACTGGCAAGAAACAGCATGTCCATTCAGCTTCGAAAAGGTAAACCCATTACCAGAGATGGCCGAAGAATCTCCAATAGGATGCTTCAGGATTCCGATGAGGTTGAGAGACTTGTTCACAACAGGGATGCCACACGATTCATGCAGCCCCTGAGAGGCTCTCCAGCCTATTGGGAGAAGACGTTGCGAGATCTCCAGGCCATGATTCGACAGCTGGGGACACCTACTTTCTTTTGTACATTCAGTGCAGCAGAAATGCGATGGCCTGAGATTGTGACTGTAATCAAAGCTCAACAAGGCGAAGAAATTGACTTTTCACAGCTTGACTGGGCGACGAAATGTGAAATCCTTAGGAGTAATCCTGTCACTGTCATGCGCATGTTTGAGAAGCGTGTGGATGCATTAATGGCTCACCTGCTTTTGTCACCTGCACAACCCATTGGTGAAGTGGAGGATTTCTTTTATAGAGTGGAGTTTCAGGCGAGAGGAAGCCCACATATTCATCTGCTTGCTTGGGTAAAGGATGCCCCAGATCCAGAGGAAGATAATGATGAGACAATTTGTGACTTCATCGACCGTTACGTATCGTGCAAGCTTCCAGATCCCAATGTTGATCCTGAGCTTCATAAGATTGTGACAGAGGTTCAGCTTCATAGCAAAAACCACTCAAAGTCATGCAAGAAAGGCAAGGTGGTGTGTAGATTTGGATTTCCAAAACTACCAATGCCTAAGACCATGATCACTCATCCAATGCCAGAGCGTCCTGATGAGGGGGATGATGAACCTACTGACTCGGCAGCCAAGAAGAAAGCAAGGCGAGATGCGGCTAAAAAAGCCATGAATGAAGCCAAATCAAAACTCAAGCCTTTGTGGGATTTGCTGAATGATCCCAAATCTTCCTCGACAATTTGTCAGACCTTTTAACCAAGTGCAATTTGTCCATGGACGATTACCTGAACTACGCTGAAGGACTCACCACTGGCAGTGCAGTTCTTTTGAAGCGTGATCCAAAGGAGACTTGGGTGAATGGCTACAATCCTGATTTGCTCAGGGCGTGGAATGCGAACATGGATATTCAGTACATCCTAGACGCTTACAGCTGCATCATGTATATGCTGTCCTACGTTTCAAAGCCGGAGCATGAAATGAGTGGCTTTCTAAAGAACGTTATCCAGAGTGTTCGTGAAGCCAACGTTAATGAAGAGGACGAAATGAAGCACATAATGCAAGCCTATGCCAAGCACCGGCAAGTAAGTGCTCAGGAGTCCGTTGCGCGAACATGCAGCTTGCCGTTGAAGAAGTGTTCACGAAGTGTCGTGTTTGTTCCGACGGATGACGATGCCCTCAAGATGAGTCTGCCCATAAGTGTGTTGCTGAACAAAAATCCTGAATCGGAGGACGTCTGGATGTCAGGTTTAATAGAAAAATACAGAGCAAGACCTCTAACGTTGGAGTTTGAAAAAATGTGTCTTGCGGACTTTGCATCCAATTACCGTGTTGTGTACGGTCAGCAAATTAAAGGAAAAAATGTCCTCCGACTGCTTCACGATATGGGATTCATTCAAAAGAGGACTGTTGGCAAGCCTGCAGTTATCAGATATGCTCGCTTTTCAGAGGAGAAGCAACCAGAAAAATTTTACGGAAGAATGGTGAAACTTTACGTTCCCCATCGCCACAATGCAGAGCTGAAACCTGAGGATTTTCCCACATATCAGCTATTTTATAAAAGCGGATTTGTGGAACTTCCTGGACATCCTGGTCTCCGGTTCCCTGTCTGCGGCATAGTAAAGGCATACCAGCAGAGATATGAAAAGCACGGCAAAGTCGTAGATAAAGCATTTGAACAACTTCAGCAGGAAGGACCATCTGAGAGTGCTTGGACAGCTTTTGCACCAGAAGTTGAAGTGGATCGCCTGGAATGCATAGCTGAACAAGAAGACGTCGGTCCAGAGGAAGACGACGAACAGGATGAGGTCCCTGAATTCCAGCCTCGTAATGAAGATGGCGATGGAGTTGCACCGCGCATAGAGCCGCCACAGATGAGCGTCGAGTTTGTCAGGAAGCTCTTTAGGAGTTTAAACAAGACACAGGCAGCCATATTTTACACCATTCGGCGGTGGTGTCAAAACCGTGTGTGGGGACTGAATCCAGAACAGTTTTTTTACTTCGTGTCAGGTGGTGCTGGATGTGGAAAGTCGCACGTAATCAAGTGCGTATACACTGAAGCAACGAAGATTCTGCGACAACTTCCTCAGCTCCGGGAGGATGGGGATCTCTCCATTCCTACAGTGATTTTAAGTGCATTCACTGGAACAGCAGCGTTCAACATTTCTGGAAAAACTCTGCATTCCATTCTAAAGCTGCCAAGGAACTTGAAGCCACCCTATCAAGGACTTGGGAACTCTCTTGATGATGTACGAGCAGGATTACGTCATGTGGAAATCCTGATTATTGACGAAATCTCTATGATTTCAAAAGACTTTTTTGCATACATCAACTGGAGGTTTCAACAGATCAGAGGCAGCAAGAAACCATTTGGGGGCATTTCTGTCATCGTGGTGGGAGACTTTTATCAATTACCGCCCCCGGGAAAAGCCAAGCCACTCTGTGTTTACGAAGAGGATGTGCTGGACTTTTGGAAGGACCACTTCCAAATCGTAACCCTCACGGAGATCATGCGGCAGAAAGAGGACCTTGCATTTGCCCAGCTTTTAAACCGATTGAGAGTGAAACGGAAATCTGATGCTCTTAAAGAAGAAGATAGAGCTTTGTTATTGCAGGCTGTGAGGAATCCCCAAGACTGCCCACGTGATGCATTGCACATATTTGCAACCAACAAGGAAGTCCACAGTCACAATAGTGAGACGGTAAACGCTCTTCATGCTGACATCATAACCATTCATGCTGAAGATTACCGGAAAGACCCAAGAACAGGTGGGATGAAAAGACAGACTAAACCTGTCATGGGTAATAAAGACGACCTGCTTGACACCATACAAGTTGCAGTGGGAGTCCGCATAATGATGATAAGGAATCTGGATGTCGAAGATGGACTCGTCAATGGATGCTTTGGGAACATTGGAAACATTGTGACTAAAACAAGTGACGGAATTGCATTTGTGCACATGCTTGGCATTCAGCCTGACAATCCAAATGCTGGCCAGAAATACAGACGACGACTGCAAGGTGAACAGGACACTTTAGTCTACATTGAAAGATCAGAGGAACCTGTAAAGAAAAGAGCAGTCCGTCGACAATTTCCAATCAAGTTGGCCTACGCATGCACTGCTCACAAAGTTCAAGGCATGACCATGCAATCGGCTGTAGTATCACTAAAGAGGATTTTTGAGCCAGGAATGGCCTATGTTGCCCTCAGCCGAACAACCTCACTTGGTGGGTTGTACATCAGAGACTTTGATGAAAAAAAGATCTATGCTGATCCGGAAATCACAACCTCGTTGGAGAGGATGAAAACGGCAACGCTGGAAGGCATCATGCCACTTTTTGACTGGAAGAAAACCAACACCAGTCTGGTAGAAAAACTTATTGTTGTGCATCATAACACAGAGGGACTCCAATCACATATAGAAGACATCAAACACCATCATGAGCTGCTTCTATGTGATATCTTTTGTGTTACGGAAACGCACCTCTCCGGATCATGCATCTCATCACATGTCCAGTTGGAAGGCTTTAAGATGTTTGCAAGAAATAGACATGCGTCTTACTCAACCCTTCCAGAAATGGCAAAGAAGGACTGTGGTGGAGTTGCAATTTATTGCAAAGAGGACATTCAGGCGGAACCTCGACACTTTATACACCACGTCACCGACCTGGAGTTTGTCGTCATCAAAGTTGATGCACCAGTGACTGCAACAATTGCTGCGGTGTACAGGCCACCAGACTATAGTCTGGAAAAATTTTTGCCAAACATCAGGGGCCTTCTTGATTATTTGGAAATGATGAAGGAGAATCCCATAATTGTCTGTGGAGACTTCAACGAAGACCACCTCTCGTCTGGAAGAAAGCCCATTCTGGAGTTGTTCCAATCCCAACAATACCAACAGCTCATCACCATGGCAACCACAGAGAAACAAACACTGTTGGATCATATTTATGTTTCTCATCCAGACTTGTGCATGCAGTCAGGTGTTTTACACACCTACTATAGCTATCACAATCCAGTGTATTGTGTTTTGCCTAAATAATTCAGCCAACAATCCAAATGCTGGCCAAAAATACATACGCAACTGCAAGGTGAAGAGGACACTTAACTCTACATCGAAAGAGCAGAGGAAACTCTAAAGAAAGGAGCAGTTTGTCAACAATTTCTAATCAAGATGGCTAACACATGCACAAAGTTCAAGGCATGGCCATGCAATCGGCTGTCAAAAATCACAACCGCGTTGGAGAGGACAAAAAATGGCAACGCTGGAAGGCATCATGCTACTTTTTGACTGGAAAAAACCAACAACAGTCTGAAAGAAAAGCTTATCGTTGTGCATCATAAAGCAGAGGAACTCCCATCACATATAGAGGACATAAAACACCATCACCAAACATCAGGGGCCTACTTAATTATTTGGAAATGATGGAGAATCCCATAATTGTCTGTGGAGACTTCACCAAAGACCACCTCTTGTCTGGAAGAAAGCCCATTCTGGAGTTGTTCCAATCCCTACTATACAAACAGCTCATCTCCATGGCCACCACAAAGAAACGAACATTGGCCTACGTCTTTGACATGAAGTCAGTGTGCCACACAGAACCGGGAGACAAAAGACCTGGATAGAGCCTGATTATCAGCCACTCGTCTTTTACTTGGTGGTGTGTGCACAGTTGCGTGAAGGCGGTGTGTCGTACCTGAGGTGGATGCTGTGTGATGAGAGTAGAGTAGGGTCAGCAGCAAGGGACATCAGGAGGATATTGTGGCATCTTCAAAGTTTACAAAGGGCAGTGACAGCAGCAACAGTTGGTGAGTAGTACAGTGGCTTTTTAAATGTTCCATTATTTTATGTTTTTCCTTTGTATTTGTGTTTGACATTTTGTACTGAATTTATGACTTGCAGTGGCGATGCTGGTTCGAGCCTCAGCTGGGTCAGTTGGTGTTTCTGTGTGGAAGATGCAAGAACAGGATGGATGAAAAGGCAAACTAACCCTGTCATGGGTAAAAAAAGACAACCTGCTAGGCACCATACAAGTTGCATTGATTGGGAGTCTGCATAATGTTGATATTGTGGCATCTTCAAAGTTTACAAAGGGCAGTGACAGCAGCAACAGTTGGTGAGTAGTACAGTGGCTTTTTAAATGTTCCATTATTTTGTGTGTTTCCTTTGTATTTGTGTTTGACATTTTGTACTGAATTTATGACTTGCAGTGGCGATGCTGGTTCGAGCCTCAGCTGGGTCAGTTGGTGTTTCTGTGTGCAAGATGCAAGAAAAGGATGGATGAAAAAGCAAACTAACCCTGTCATGGGTAAAAAAAGACAACCTGCTAGGCACCATACAAGTTGCATTGATTGGGAGTCTGCATAATGTTGATCAAAAATGTGGATGTCAAAGATGGACTTGTCAATGGATGCTTTGGAAACATTGGAAACATTGTGACCAAAACAAAATACAGACTTGCATTTGTGCACATGCTTGGAAATCAGTCGACAATCCAAATGCTGGCCAGAAATACATACGACAACAACTGCAAGGTGAAGAGGACACTTTACATCAAAAGATCAGAGGAAACTCTTAAGAAAGAAGCAGTCTGTCAACAATTTCCAATCAAGATGGCTTACGCATGCACCACTCACAAAATTCAAGGCATGACCATGCAATCGGCTGTCAAAAATCACAACCACGTTGGAGAGGACAAAAAATGGCAACGCTGGAAGGCATCATGCTACTTTTTGACTGGAAAAAAAACCAACAACAGTCTGAAAGAAAAGCTTATCGTTGTGCATCATAAAGCAGAGGGACTCCCATCACATATAGAGGACATAAAACACCATCACCAAACATCAGGGGCCTACTTAATTATTTGGAAATGATGGAGAATCCCATAATTGTCTGTGGAGACTTCACCAAAGACCACCTCTTGTCTGGAAGAAAGCCCATTCTGGAGTTGTTCCAATCCCCACTATACAAACAGCTCATCTCCATGGCCACCACAAAGAAACGAACACTGGCCTACGTCTTTGACATGAAGTCAGTGTGCCACACAGAACCGGGAGACAAAAGACCTGGATAGAGCCTGATTATCAGCCACTCGTCTTTTACTTGGTGAGGTGTGCACAGTTGCGTGAAGGCGGTGTGTCGTACCTGAGGTGGATGCTGTGTGATGAGAGTAGAGTAGGGTCAGCAGCAAGGGACATCAGGAGGATATTGTGGCATCTTCAAAGTTTACAAAGGGCAGTGACAGCAGCAACAGTTGGTGAGTAGTACAGTGGCTTTTTGAATGTTCCATTATTTTATGTTTTTCCTTTGTATTTGTGTTTGACATTTTGTACTGAATTTATGACTTGCAGTGGCGATGCTGGTTCGAGCCTCAGCCGGGTCAGTTGGTGTTTCTGTGTGCAAGATGCAAGAACAGGATGGATGAAAAAGCAAACTAACCCTGTCATGGGTAAAAAAAGACAACCTGCTAGGCACCATACAAGTTGCATTGATTGGGAGTCTGCATAATGTTGATCAAAAATGTGGATGTCAAAGATGGACTTGTCAATGGATGCTTTGGAAACATTGGAAACATTGTGACCAAAACAAAATACAGACTTGCATTTGTGCACATGCTTGGAAATCAGTCGACAATCCAAATGCTGGCCAGAAATACATACGACAACAACTGCAAGGTGAAGAGGACACTTTACATCAAAAGATCAGAGGAAACTCTTAAGAAAGAAGCAGTCTGTCAACTATTTCCAATCAAGATGGCTTACGCATGCACCACTCACAAAGTTCAAGGCATGACCATGCAATCGGCTGTCAAAAATCACAACCACGTTGGAGAGGACAAAAAATGGCAACGCTGGAAGGCATCATGCTACTTTTTGACTGGAAAAAAAACCAACAACAGTCTGAAAGAAAAGCTTATCGTTGTGCATCATAAAGCAGAGGGACTCCCATCACATATAGAGGACATAAAACACCCATCACCAAACATCATGGGCCTACTTAATTATTTGGAAATGATGGAGAATCCCATAATTGTCTGTGGAGACTTCACCAAAGACCACCTCTTGTCTGGAAGAAAGCCCATTCTGGAGTTGTTCCAATCCCTACTATACAAACAGCTCATCTCCATGGCCACCACAAAGAAAACGAACATTGGCCTACGTCTTTGACATGAAGTCAGTGTGCCACACAGAACCGGGAGACAAAAGACCTGGATAGAGCCTGATTATCAGCCACTCGTCTTTTACTTGGTGGTGTGTGCACAGTTGCGTGAAGGCGGTGTGTCGTACCTGAGGTGGATGCTGTGTGATGAGAGTAGAGTAGGGTCAGCAGCAAGGGACATCAGGAGGATATTGTGGCATCTTCAAAGTTTACAAAGGGCAGTGACAGCAGCAACAGTTGGTGAGTAGTACAGTGGCTTTTTAAATGTTCCATTATTTTATGTCTTTCCTTTGTATTTGTGTTTGACATTTTGTACTGAATTTATGACTTGCAGTGGCGATGCTGGTTCGAGCCTCAGCTGGGTCAGTTGGTGTTTCTGTGTGGAAGATGCAAGAACAGGATGGATGAAAAAGCAAACTAACCCTGTCATGGGTAAAAGAAGACAACCTGCTAGGCACCATACAAGTTGCATTGATTGGGAGTCTGCATAATGTTGATCAAAAATGTGGATGTCAAAGATGGACTTGTCAATGGATGCTTAGGAAACATTGGAAACATTGTGACCAAAACAAAATACAGACTTGCATTTGTGCACATGCTTGGAAATCAGCCGACAATCCAAATGCTGGCCAGAAATACATACGACAACAACTGCAAGGTAAAGAGGACACTTTACATCAAAAGATCAGAGGAAACTCTAAAGAAAGAAGCAGCCTGTCAACAATTTCCAATCAAGATGGCTTACGCATGCACCACTCTCAAAGTTCAAGGCATGACCATGCAATCGGCTGTCAAAAATCACAACCTCGTTGGAGAGGACAAAAAATGGCAACGCTGGAAGGCATCATGCTACTTTTTGACTGGAAAAAAAACCAACAACAGTCTGAAAGAAAAGCTTATCGTTGTGCATCATAAAGCAGAGGGACTCCCATCACATATAGAGGACATAAAACACCATCACCAAACATCAGGGGCCTACTTAATTATTTGGAAATGATGGAGAATCCCATATTTGTCTGTGGAGACTTCACCAAAGACCACCTCTTGTCTGGAAGAAAGCCCATTCTGGAGTTGTTCCAATCCCCACTATACAAACAGCTCATCTCCATGGCCACCACAAAGAAACGAACACTGGCCTACGTCTTTGACATGAAGTCAGTGTGCCACACAGAACCGGGAGACAAAAGACCTGGATAGAGCCTGATTATCAGCCACTCGTCTTTTACTTGGTGGTGTGTGCACAGTTGCGTGAAGGCGGTGTGTCGTACCTGAGGTGGATGCTGTGTGATGAGAGTAGAGTAGGGTCAGCAGCAAGGGACATCAGGAGGATATTGTGGCATCTTCAAAGTTTACAAAGGGCAGTGACAGCAGCAACAGTTGGTGAGTAGTACAGTGGCTTTTTGAATGTTCCATTATTTTATGTTTTTCCTTTGTATTTGTGTTTGACATTTTGTACTGAATTTATGACTTGCAGTGGCGATGCTGGTTCGAGCCTCAGCTGGGTCAGTTGGTGTTTCTGTGTGCAAGATGCAAGAACAGGATGGATGAAAAAGCAAACTAACCCTGTCATGGGTAAAAAAAGACAACCTGCTAGGCACCATACAAGTTGCATTGATTGGGAGTCTGCATAATGTTGATCAAAAATGTGGATGTCAAAGATGGACTTGTCAATGGATGCTTTGGAAACATTGTGACCAAAACAAAATACAGACTTGCATTTGTGCACATGCTTGGAAATCAGTCGACAATCCAAATGCTGGCCAGAAATACATACGACAACAACTGCAAGGTGAAGAGGACACTTTACATCAAAAGATCAGAGGAAACTCTTAAGAAAGAAGCAGTCTGTCAACTATTTCCAATCAAGATGGCTTACGCATGCACCACTCACAAAGTTCAAGGCATGACCATGCAATCGGCTGTCAAAAATCACAACCACGTTGGAGAGGACAAAAAATGGCAACGCTGGAAGGCATCATGCTACTTTTTGACTGGAAAAAAACCAACAACAGTCTGAAAGAAAAGCTTATCGTTGTGCATCATAAAGCAGAGGGACTCCCATCACATATAGAGGACATAAAACACCATCACCAAACATCATGGGCCTACTTAATTATTTGGAAATGATGGAGAATCCCATAATTGTCTGTGGAGACTTCACCAAAGACCACCTCTTGTCTGGAAGAAAGCCCATTCTGGAGTTGTTCCAATCCCTACTATACAAACAGCTCATCTCCATGGCCACCACAAAGAAACGAACATTGGCCTACGTCTTTGACATGAAGTCAGTGTGCCACACAGAACCGGGAGACAAAAGACCTGGATAGAGCCTGATTATCAGCCACTCGTCTTTTACTTGGTGGTGTGTGCACAGTTGCGTGAAGGCGGTGTGTCGTACCTGAGGTGGATGCTGTGTGATGAGAGTAGAGTAGGGTCAGCAGCAAGGGACATCAGGAGGATATTGTGGCATCTTCAAAGTTTACAAAGGGCAGTGACAGCAGCAACAGTTGGTGAGTAGTACAGTGGCTTTTTAAATGTTCCATTATTTTATGTTTTTCCTTTGTATTTGTGTTTGACATTTTGTACTGAATTTATGACTTGCAGTGGCGATGCTGGTTCGAGCCTCAGCTGAGTCAGTTGGTGTTTCTGTGTGGAGTTTGCATGTTCTCCCTGCGTTCGCGTGGGTTTCCTCCGGTTGCTTCAACTTCCCCCACAGTCCAAAGACACGCGGAACAGGTGAATTGGTATAGGTTAAATTGGCCTTTGTGTGTGTGTGTGCATGTGTGTGAATAAGAATGTCCAGATGTTTCCCAGAGATGAGTTGCGGCTGGAAGGTCGTCCGCTGTGTAAAAATGGGCTGGATAAGTCGGTGGTTCATTCTTCTGTGGCGACCCCGGATTAATAAAGAGACTAAGCCGACAATAAAATGCATGAATAAATGAATTATTTTATGTTTTTCCTTTGTATTTGTGTTTGACATTTTGTTCTGAATTTATGACTTGCAGTGGCAACGCTGGTTCGAGCCTCGGCTGGGTCAGTTGGTGTTTCTATGTGGAGTTTGCATGTTCTCCCTGCGTTCGAGTGGGTTTCCTCCGGTTGCTTCGACTTCTTCAACAGTCTAAAGACACGCGGAACAGGTGAATTGGTATAGATTAAATTGGCCTTAGTGTGTGTGTGTGTGTGTGTGTGAGTAAAAAAGTATGTTCAGATATTTCCCAGAGATGGGTTGCGGCTGGAATGGCATCCGCTGCATAAAAACGTGCTGGATAAGTTGGCGGTTCATTCTGCAGTCGTAGCCCCAGATTAATAAAGCCGAAAAAATGAATGAATGTATGACTTACATTTTCTGTTATATTATTAATTTGTTACAGGCACAGCTTTAACACAACAGCAGCCTTTTCAAAGTGGACAGAATTCTTTGACATTCAATCTAAAGCTAAGTATTTTGTTTCAGTTGTTTGTACTGCCTTGTAATACAGTCACATTTTCAGCATAATGTTAAATCTTAGTCTCATTCAAGTGTTGTGTTTTTTTATGTTTTTACTACCAGAAGACCCAAGAAGATGTGTTGACTGAGAAAACAAATGTCCTGCAGTATTGTTGAGGAAGACATCTGCCTAACTATATATTGGTGAGCATGCTGTTAGGATCACGCCATTTAATTGTAGTGTGTATGTGTACTAATATGTATTGAAATTATAAAACAAACCAGTTGTCATGTTACAAAAGATTCTATTTTAAATATTGTTTAAGCTTCCTACAAAAAGAAATGTAAAAAATAAATATTTCCACAAGTTAAGCTGCATAAACTAAGAGACATTATTAAGGAGGTTATTCACCTAAACATTTAAATTATCATTTACTGGAGTTGCTTGCTTCTTGAACTCAAAATACTTGAAAAATAAAATAAATAAAAAGCTTTTAAAATCTTAAAAGTTATGGAAAAAAAGCTATTGACTTTCTTTTGTATTTTCTTTGCATCACTATTATTGTTAATGGCTGTTTTAACTAGTGCTTGTTTATATAGTGTTCTTATTATTGATTCATCAATCTCATGGTTGTAGGAGAAGACCAGGTGTATGCGCACTACGGCATTGCAGAATGATGGACCAGAGGAAGAACATCTCTAATACAGAGGTATTCTGAAACAAGTGAGTTATGCCGTTACAAAAAATTCTATTTGCAATATTGTTTAAGCTTTCTCTAAAAGGAAACTTTTACAAAATATTTCCACAAATTAAACTGCATAAACTTAGAGGCATTATTAAGGTGTTTATTCACCTAAATTTTTAAGTTGTCATTTACAGATAATCTACTCGTTTCAAATATGTCTGAGTTGCTTGCTTCTTGAACTCGAAATGCTTGAGAATGCAAAAAAAATCTTTAATGTTGTGGAAAAACAGCATTGACTTTCTTTGTATTTTTTGCATCCACTATGAATGTTAATGGCTGTTTTTTAATGGTGCTTGTGTATATAGTGTTCTTATTATTGATTTATTAATCTCATGGTTACAGGAGAAGACCAGGTGTTTGGCATTGCACACCACAGCATTGCAGGATGACGGACCAGAGGTATACTTTATTAGTACTTCTAGGAGAGTCTTGTGGTTCAGTGCATCTTGTCATAACTTGTGCTTTGTCTTTAAGAAGTCTTTAAGAAGTATGGACTTTGTAAAACCTTAGATTTTAAAGTAAATCGTGATTCTCATTTTCTCTTTGTTCCTGAAGTATCCAAACAATCAAAATATATATTTTTTACTAATAATTTTGTCACATCTGTTTTGCCTCCTCTTCCTCAGGATATACAGTCTGTGCATGCCAGATCCAGAGGCCAGATGGTGGAAGACGGTGTCCTGCAACATTTAGATAATTTTAACGTTGTTTAAAAATGTTATTAGCTTATACATCTAAAAAATGTTGCTATGTTACGTGCCACGCCCAAGAAAGATGGGTACTCCCTTGCTGAGTCTGGTCTTTCCAAGGTTTCTCTCCAAACTTTTTGGAGTTTTTTTCCTTGCCACAGTCGCCAATGGCTTGCTCACAGGGGGTGTTGTGCCAAGTCCTGTCTTCCCCTCGTGTCCTTTATCTTTAAACTTAGATTCCATAGTAATTTAGCCATACAAATGTTAATAAAAAGGAGCTTAAAATTAATTTAAAACAAGTAAAAATAGGCTTAAGAGTACAAATAAAGCTTAGTCAATCATATCATCACAATTTAGGATATTTATATGCAGCTTAGGTTTGAATATATTTGCCATTTAATAAATACTAATGAGTAAAATGTTTGCACCATAAACTATTAATTGTTATAAATCAATTAACTTTTTTTTTCTCAGATTAGAGCCGCAAATTATTTGCAGAAAGGGACAGTAGGTCCGGTAAAAATTGATTATCATCACATATGGCCAAAGTACATTTTTACTTTAAACAACGTAAAAAAAGAATAAAACACATTAGCATTTAGATCAGTTTCTTAGGGCACTTTAATATTAATTAATTAATAATAATAATAATAACAAAACTTTTGTGTTTATAGCTGGCATGGTCTTTATTAAATAAACATTCCCAGCACCAATTTATAGCAAATAATCATGTCATTTTATTATTTTTAATTAAACTATGTTTAGCAGGGTGGTTGAACTGCAGATTTATTTATAAATTTAACTCTGCCACTGTACACAGTATGTGATAGTGCACTGAATGAGGTTTTAAATTAAAATCAACCATTTTAAATGCACATATATATAATATTATATAATTTATTATAATATATAATTAATATAATATATTATAGTATAAAAATTATAGTAATTTACAATGATGTGTTTAAGAAAAACATCCATATTGGAATTAAACAGTCATTAGGTAAACTTTATTATTGCTCTATAGCTTAATTCATTATTCTAACATTTTAGTAGGTGTGACTGGGATCAGACTGGTGGACAGGATTTGGCACAACAGGCTTTTTTTTAATCAATTTAATAAACAATTTGGTTTAATTGGCACAGTCAGCTTGTTTTGTCTTTTATTAAATGTCTGTCAATGCTACATCACTATTGACTTTAAGAAGCAAGTATTCAGTACTACAAATGCTAATTGCATATGTTAGATTAAGCACAGTCTACCTAAATGTGCTTTAACCTGTGCTATGCTGTAAGTATTAAGGTTTTAGGTGATGGTATGATTTATTTTTAAAAATAATAACAGTTTTGCAACTGCATCTGATACACAGATGATTGTAAGATGCAAGTGGTTAAACAAATTTGGACCCATGTTGAATTACAATATGTCAAGGGAAACAATGTTGCTACTTTACCAGTATTGTGGTTATCCTAGATACAACCATTTGTTATTGAACCATGGATGCAGAGTCACAACGGCTTGAGGACAGGTATGACTTTTGAAGGGTGATGACATCTTTAATTCAATGGCTTATTTTACATTTATAAATAAAATGGCTGACAACCAAAAATCCCCATAGACTTAACATGGACACAAAATGGCTGACATTGATATGGAGATTAGTAAGTCGTAGAAGCTTGAGACTGGGCTCATTTTACTTGGCCTATCAAGTTGGTATTAAGTACTGACATAACAAATTTGTAGACACTCCCTAGCAACTACTTTAAGCCCCCTAACAACCACATAAACTAGCAACCACATAAACACATGAATTTAACCATTTCTTACCTTTCCAGTGCTATTTTGCCCAGTTTAGTACCATTTTGTACCCCATCGATTTGCCACGCAAACCCCATTCACATTTCCTTTAGGAAATGTACAATTCTAGTTAATGGGGTTTGCCATAGGCAAAGTCCATTCTTACTATTGTGGTTTATTATTCTTCTTCCTTCTTCTTCTTCTTCTTCTTCTTCTTCCTTCTTCCGTCCTATTTTTCGGCGCGTAACTAGTCCCGCAGCTTTCGTCCCAGACCCTTGAAAGTGGGCTCAAATCGTGCGGTCTTATCGGGAATGGTGTGCTATGACTTTTATAAGGGGTGGG